ACCCTGATGCTTTTGAAAAAATTGAAATTGTGTTAAGAGTTTCCTTTACCATGGATTTATTCTTTAGGAAAATGGATGTGTCATCCGCAAATTGACTAATTTTGAACTCTTTGTCAAAGAGGGTAATGCCTAATATTTTGTGATTCTTTATAATAAGCGTTGTTAATACTTGGGTGGTCAGAATAAATAATTTGGGGGAAATAGGACAACCCTGTCGAATACCACGTAAAACCTTAAACCTAGGGCTCATTCCAGGGTTCAAAGATACAGAACTATAAATGTCCGAGTAGAGCATCCTAATTATGTTGCAGAAATGTTCACCAAAACCCAGAAATGTCAGAGTTTCCATTAAAAAGGAATGTTCAACAGTATCAAAAGCCTTGTAAAAATCCAGAAATAGTACGAGACCTTCAGTATCAATAAACTCCTGGTAATCAAGCATATCCAATATCAGTCTGGTATGGTTATGAATACTTCTGCCCTTTATAAAGGCTGATTGACATTCATCTATTAGTTGATTCAGACCCGAGTTTAACCTGTTAGCATAAACATGTGCTAAAAGTTTGTAATCATTACATAACAGGGTAATAGGTCTCCAATTATCCAACAAAAGATTATTTTTATTTGGTTTTGGAATTAAGGTAATAAGGCCATGTTTCATGGTTGGCGAAAGGTTTCCTGCTGAAATGCAATCTGTGAACGCCTTATAAAGCATTTCTCGCACATCTGACCAAAAACATTTATAAAACTCTATGGTTAAACCATCCAGCCCTGGTGATTTGCCACCAGACATTTGCAGTAATGCACTATCTAATTCTTCAATTTTTAGTCCATCGTCCATATACTGTTTAAAAGAATAATCTATTGTCTTTTTGAATTCTGTAATTTTACTAAAAAAGTTATCACAATTTTCTTTAGAAAACTTTGAGTTATATAAATTGCTATAAAAAAGTCTAATTTCTTCATTTATCTGGTCTTGATTTTCAATAGTGACATCATTAATAATCAGTTTTTGGATTTTCTTTTTCACTTGTCTTTGCTTTTCAAGATTGAAGAAATAAGAAGTGTTTTTCTCTCCTTGCTCAATCCATCGGGCTCTCGAACGAATAAAAGCTCCCTTTGCTTTTTCCAAATACATGTTGTCTAATTGAGTTTGTAAATTGTTCAGTTGAATTTGCTCATCCAATGATAACTCAGCTTTAAGGCATAAATTATTAATTGCACTTGTCATCTCTTGTTGTTTTTGTTTCTTTAATCTAGAAGAGTATTTACAGGATTTTATCGCAATCTGTCTCACACTAAATTTAAACCATTCCCATTTACTGAGAGATGACATATCCAAAGCCAGAGTTTCTTTTATCAGTTGTTTGATCTCTCTACAAAAATCTGCATTCTCCAAAAGACTATTATTGAATTTCCATATAGGGTTAAGATTGGGACTGAAGTTGCATAGTAAAAAGGACAAAGAGATGACACAGTGATCCGTCAGAGGTGATGCTGAAATGTCACACTTTGAGACATTATTAGTTAAACTAGTAGAGATTAACCAATAATCGAGCCTAGAGCACTGACCATTGTTAGAAGAGTTAAACCAGGTATATTGTGATTTTGAGGGATTATTTATTCTCCAAACATCAGTTAAATTAAGTTTAGAGGCCAAGTGAATAATAGAATCATTAAAATTATGACATTGTCCCCTTAAAGGAAGACGATCTAACCACTCATCAGGAACTACATTAAAATCCCCTCCGATTATAATCTTATCAGTCATATAAAGTGCTTTCCATTCCTCTAATTTTTGGCACAAGATTGAAAGAAAATTATTGTTTTGAATCTTTCTGTTATACCCATAAACACACACCAGTATGTAATTAGACCCATTAACATCAGTCACAACCATTAGCCAATGACCGTTTGTATCACTCCTGTGGTCAATTATATTTCCAGGTAACCTGTTAAATAAAATCATCACTCCAGCCGAATGTGTTGTTCCATGGCTGAAAAAAATGTTGTCTCCCCATTGTACTTTCCAGAACTTAGTGTCTGCCTCTGCAGAATGAGTTTCTTGCAGAAAAACACAATTTGCTTTTTGTTCCTTACAAAAAAGAAAAATTGCCTTACGTTTCACATTGTTTTTTAGCCCCCTAGCATTTAAGGATATGAAAGATAACATTGAAAGAGCAAAGATAGAATCTTTAAGAAAATGCGCAAAGGAATGTTATATCGATGCGCAGGAGTGAGTAACGTAGCCCTTAACAAACATATTTAGTGCAATAGCTCACAACATTTTGAATATAACCTGAGACAAGTCCAATCAAACACTCAAACTGAGAACTTCAGCATACCTACTGAGGACAGAAAACCTGCTCCCTGTCCTTCCAGTTAATTACTGCGGTGTTTTTCACTTTATTCCGGGTCCACTCTTTTGTTGTCAATCAGCGCGAAGCCTTCCTTCAAAAAGGCTCTCTTCCCCTTTCTCCTGGCTTCTTGAACCAGTGGCCACAGCTTGGAGCGAGCCTCCCGGTCCTCCTTGGAGAAATCCTCTTTGAAACGAATGTGCATCTCGCTGCAGACTCTCGCATCTTTGGACTTTTTCCAGATCTCGTCACGAACAGTCCTCATCCCGAACTGAATGATGATTGACCGCGGTGTGTTGTTGGAAGTAGCTGCATTACCCTTCATACCCAGCCGATGGACAGTGTCCACTGAGTCACGCAGCTTCTCCACAGACAGCGGAACAACTCTTGTGAGTATCCCGATCACAGCTTCTCTTGTGTTTTCTCCTTCTTTTTCAGGCAGACCATTCATCCTCAGATTCCACCTCCGTTTGTAGCGGGCTTGCTCCTCGCCAGACTTACGTAGTAAAGTGTTATCTTTTAGAAGATCATCAAACTTTTTCTGAAGAGCAGAAATGTCTTTCTTATTTTCTTTAGCTGCTTCAGTGTTTGCTTCAATGCGTTTTTCAAACTTTCTTAACAGCTCTGTCTGTTCATCCATTTTTCCGGATAAGACTTGAATTGCCTGGAGAATGGTGCTGTTGCTATCCTCTGCCATTTGTGTTTCGCCGTGAACCTTCGATTTCTTTGGATTCGGTCCTTTAGTTGGTGTGTGGTCCCGATTTATTTTGTGTCCCTTAGAGTTGTCCGCTTCCATGTCCTCAATATCCGAGTCGTCACACGCCTCACGGAGAACTTTTAAGTTGTAATCGTGGTCGGTCATGCTAGCAGGCACTTTATGTCAAAAGTGTTGGTAACTGGAGAATTAAAGTAAAATGTGACTATTTAAGCTTCTATAATAACTTAAAGTGTATCATGAATAAGCTATTGCCTGTCAGTTTTACAGTCAAGGACTAAAATCTAAACTTTTTCTACGAGCCTGCAACGTTGTTACTTCTCACTCCGCCATCTTCCCGCGGATCTTAGTGTCGTGTACTTGCCGCCATAGATATATATAAACACTAGATGACTCACCCGCGCTGCTGGCCAATGGAGACCGACCATGGATGTATAATAAGAACTGGATACAGCGTGGGAGGCGGGGCCTCATTCATTCCTATGAGAGTTGCTCATTCGCGCATGATGATAAAATGGCCCAACTTTTGAGAGAGCGAAACGTCACAGATTACCCGGCATGCCTGAGAAGTACCCGTATGTGCGCTCATAGCGCATGCGCAACTTTAACCATGCCCCCCAAAATGCTCGTTCACATCAAGCACGTCAATTTGCGTACACGTAACAGCACCGCACGTAACAGCACCGCACGTTCATGACAGCATGGTAATGGTTTGTTATTATGATAGATTTGATATTAACGAGGCGGCAGTTAGCAGCTAGCGGTTAGCTAGTAATTATGCTAATTTACACATCAATCGTTATGTACTTTTATATTACGCTGTAACAGGATCTAGTGATATCCAAGCAACAGAGCTTCATTTAGCATGAAAGAATTATTGCACTGTATATATATATATATATATATATATATATATATGTATATATATACAGTGCAATAAGCTTCTTAGTGCAATAAGAAGCTACAGGGACGTTAATCTACGTCGGTAATATTAACTTTATTTAATACAACATTTACGGTACAAGATTTAATCATACAGCCCATGTAGTATAATATTTTACAAATGATGAATTACAGCAAACATGTGCAATATATCCATTATTACAGCTCCGTGGGCTGGCAGTAAGGCGATATGGGTCCGTTCTTATTGTACATCCATGGGTAAAGATAAACGCATGTACTAGTGCTGAACACGTAACATGAACGTGCCGGGCGGCGCGGTCCCGTGGGTTAGATGCGCGTTCATAATGCAGAGGGAAATAACTCTCAGAATAACGTTATTAGCACATTTTTACAACTTGAGGAACGAATGTTTTTAATAAGGGCTATACAAGTGTTCATACTGGGTAGTTTATTTAGTTTAAAAAAATTTATCCAACGATTTACAGACCACTCTGTCCCCATGTAAGTCAATGGGAAAAAGTGTTTCCGGGCCTGGCAACCAAAAGGAAGTGTAGTACCGCCGTTTGGCCAGCACGAATATTTTCATCTGAGTCCGGCGCACTTCCTGGGGGCTTGAGACCGACGTTGCCACATGGCCGCCATCTTGCTACAGGCAGTGCTCTCATTCATAACATTATGGTTTACTATTTAAATAACCATAGCTTGCTCAATTTTCAACCAATTTTCAAACGGTTTGGTTTTTTATAAACATCAAAGATGTAGTTATGATACTGCATACTTATAATCATGGACTTTCATATGAAAATAACATTAAGCAGATAAAGCAATAGCTATACACACACACACAAGGTATTTATATGAAATATTTGCCGGTGTATATATTTCCATTTATTTTATTATATTGTTAATATTTAAAATAAATTATAAAATTAATATATATTTACAAACGGTTTGGTTTATTATAAACATTATTAGCATGGCTATGATATAGGATGCTTGGACATGTTGAAATTGCTGCTTTTCTTTGTGTATGTGTGGTTGTATTTATTAGCTGGCTAATAACAAGAGGCTGTGAGTGAGACCTAGTATTACAAAGTTGACCCAGCAACTTTACACCAGTGGGAGAGGCAGAACTGCTCTTTCTTTTCAACATAACTTAAGTTACACATGATTTCTTCCAAGTGGTTTGGCTTGTTAAAAACATCTTACATTTAGATACATTATGATACAGGAAATTGCTGGCTTTGTGTTTACAGAAGTACCTGACTATGCCGGACTTTTGTGCAGCCTACAGATGCTCTAATCGCCGCAGTCTGGAAACAAGAACCCGTGGAATCACCTTTCACGTGTAAGATATGACAATATTATGACTATAATTAGGATAATCGTTAATTACTTAGTGGATGTATGTACATTACAAGTTCTGCTACACAGGATCAGTGGGGCTATGTGAGATATATTGAGTGAGATATTATAACTCTTAGTGTGGTTGTCTTATTCTTAAAGTATACATACATACATACATACAATTACCCCAAAAATATTATAATTTCGGTGTGTATTTGTGTCCTTACCCTTAATGTTAAAGGAAAGAAGAGAGGAAAATGTTGACAATAATTTATATATCTGGCTACCTTTCTCATGTTTTTAAGGTTTCCCAAAACCGGAGAGAGGAGGAGGCAGTGGGAAGTTGCCCTAAGAAGGCAGGACACTGCTCTGCAGTGATCACTTCAGTTGTGAGGACTTTGACAGGACGGGGCAGACTGTCCGGCTTAAAGATGGTGTTGTGCCAACAGTATTCAACTTCCCAGCTCATATTCAAAGGGTATGTGTATCATTGGCCAACAAGAATTCAAGGTGTATAAGATTGATATATAAATATGTGATTAAATGTCACACTTTAGTTTTTCTTTCTGCAAGTTTAGGAATAAATCATGTGTTGTGTATTACAGCACATTTTAAACACTCAAAATGTCTTTAATTATGTTTATTTTAGCCGGAAGCAACAAGAAGCACAACCACTTCTAGAAGAGCGGAAGATGAACCTCAGCCTAATGTTGTGAGTATTCTGAATGTGGCCAAGACCAGAGAGATGGTCATTGATTTCAGGAGGGTGAGGACGTCTGCTCCTCTACCCCTGTGCATTCTGGGAGAGGATGTGGCTGTTGTGGAGGACTACAAATACCTGGGAGTGCACTTAGACAATGGGCTGAACTGGAGGATCAACACTGACGCTGTGCACAAGAAGGGGATGAGCAGACTCTATTTTCTGAGGAAGCTGAGATCCTTCCACGTGTGCAGCAAGATGCTGGAGATCTTCTACCGGTCTGTTGTGGCTAGTGCACTCTTCTTTGCTGCGGTCTGCTGGGGGGGCAGCATCAGAGCCGGTGACACCAGCAGGATCAATAAACTGATCAGGAAAGCTGGGTCAGTCATCGGCATCAAGCTGGACCCCTTTGAAGCTGTGGTGGAGAGGAGGACACTGAACAGGCTGTTGTCCATGGCTGTGTATTTTCAAATTCTAGCGATCTCGAGCTGGTTTCTCCAAAATTACCTACCCCACCTTTAACATTAATATTCCATATGCCTTATATTTATGTATATGTATATTAGATATATATAATATCCTGCCAAACTCAACATGTATATTATTTTCCTCTTTCTTTATTTTCTTTATTTTTCTTGCTTATTTCTAATTTATTGTAAAATGCCTTGTCCCTTATGCTGCTGTAACTAAAAATGTTTTCCCAAATTGGGATCAATAAAGTACCATCTTATCTTATCTTATCTTATTTGCATGTGGAATGTCACTAACAAATGAGAGCATCATATGGCTTTTCATATTAAATCCTTTATCTCGGTGGTACCCAGGAAGGTCTATGATGGTGTTACTAGGAGAGCCCAATATCATTTGAGGTGGTACTCTGTGTAAAAAGTTTGAGAACCACTGGCCATCTCACTTGCTCTATGTCACTCATACACTTGAATAAACATGTGCAAACATTGAAACTACACCCAGGGGTTGGCAACCTTTACAATCAAAATAGCCATTTTTGTCCAGAGCCTCAAAAGATATTTCTGCCTTATAAGGGGACAAGCCTATTAAGATCAATTTCTTAAAAGTACGCTGAGTTGTGTTTTCTGTTGGAGAACGTAACATTTTTTTAGGAGAATAGAAACCACACCAAGTTGTTCTTCTTAATAATAATAATACATTTATTTTGGGGGGCCGCCTTTCATAACACCCAAGGACACCTTACAGGGCAATATAGGGAACAATTAAAACTGGATTTAGTGAGATATCAGCCGGGGTAAGACAAGACAAACAGTAAATGGACTACAGAAGGACACAAAAGGACACAGGGTAGGGCTGTGCGATTATGGCAAAAATCATAATCACGATTATTTGGGTCAATAATTGATATCACGATTATTTTGACGATTATTCATTGACCATTTATTAAACTTTAAAACAAATAATATTTTTACCAATAAACAAGGTCAACACATAATGGAGCGCACTTCCAAAACCATACTAAACATATATTAATATGATAAATAAAAATAAATTAGACCAAAATAAATTAAATCAAATATGTTGCAGTGCACTGTCACAACCTACTGACAACTCCTTAACATATAGCCAACATGGCCACCATGGCAAATGCTGGTAGGGCTGCTCATGTCATCTCTTAAAGATTTTTTGCAAGAAAAACCAGCCTGTTTACATGGTCTGGTTTCAGAGACGAGCGCAGGCAGGTGACAATATTGCCACCTGTACTGAAGACCCTCTCTGAAGAGGAACTTGTGGCTGGGATGCACAGATACTTCCTTGCCAGGATGGAGAGCCGTGGGTAGAACTTCCGGGATTCCCTCCACCACTTTAGTGGGTCCTCCTCAGCATCCAGTGGCACTGCCTGGAGGTAGGACTGTAGCTCAAGAGCTATGGCCTTGTCCTTTTCCAGAGCAGGTTGAGGTTCTGCAGCTTGGTCTACGGTGGCCTTGAAGAAGCTCCCCAGTCCCTTCTTTTTCTTCTTTGGTGCAGCTGCAGCAGCATCCTCCGTGTCATCTGCAGGCACCGCTGCCGTCTCAAGAGGGGCGTTCTCCTTGGAGTATTATAAAGAAAATAAGAATGACATGTTTAATCAGACTAAATGGTTATGGGTATTAACATTTATACCTAGAATTACATTATAACACTTTGACAACACATTCATTCACTTAATTGTATTTACTGTCAAATCTGACATTTTTATTTTTTATTATTATTATTACCATGAGTGTCATCACCCTCCTCATCTCAGTTGTCAGGCTGGCTTCAATGGATCCTCGATTGTCCTCACTGACATATTTGAGCTTGAATCTCGGGTCCAGGGCAGAGGCCATGTCAAGCAGCTCTTGTGTCGCTGCGTCATCATATTTATCATTGAGATAGTCTAGTATCTTCTTTTTTATGCTTTTTGTGAGGTCTGTGTCATCCTCCTGCACTGCCAGCAATGAGTTGTTGAAGAGGTGCAGGGTTGGTTTAAAAAAAAGACACACTTACATACTTCTCTCCAGAAAGTGCGTCTGTGAATTCCACCAGAGGGCTAAGCGACTTATTGATTGCCTCCAGTACATCAACGTCCTGCCACGTGAGGGAGAGATGTCTGGTTTTTCGGTCGCTGGAAAGGACCTGGGCAATGGCCTTCTGCTGCTCGAGGACCCTGTCGATCATGGCCTGCCTAGATCCCCATCTGGTTGGACATTCTGTCTTTAGGGAGTGTTCAGGCAGATTCAGCTGCTGCTGTGCCACTGCAAGTTCCCTCTTCTTTTTCCAACTGTAGGAGAAGCTGCTGACCAGCTTCTTGCAAAGCCCCATTGCACGGCCGATCCTGGGATCCTTCATTGCATTCTCTAAGATTACAACAAATACATATTATTTAGTATCATGATGATAATCATGATCTTCATCAAAGCATAATTTGGTGTGTTGTGTGTGTGTGTGTGTGTGTGTGTGTGTGTGTGTGTGTGTGTGTGTGTGTGTGTGTGTGGTGTGAGAGAGAGAGAGAGAGAGAGAGAGAGAGAGAGAGAGAGAGAGAGAGAGAGAGAGAGAGAGAGAGAGAGAGAGAGAGAGAGAGAGAGAGAGAGAGAGAGAGAGAGAGAGAAGAAAAAAGAGATGACAGAGTAGCTCACACATAACATAATAATAATAAGTAATTAATATTATCATATTAAGAGAGAGATCATCAATGTTAATGACTTACTATTGCTATTATTGTTGTTGCTGTTGTTAAAATGACATATTACATACAACAGGAGGAAGGAATCCTGCTCACCTATGGCCAAGTGGAGTCTATGCCCGAAACACTGGAGCCTCATCCATCCATTGACCTCAGCCGCCAGCTTTATATTTGCGGCATTGTCCGTAGTCATACAGACGAGTTTATCCTCTTTTAACCCCCAAGCAGCCATCGCTTCCCTCAGTCCATGGGCGATGTTTTGCCCCGTGTGGTCTTCAGGGAAAAATGCGGTTTGGAGACACTTTGTCTTCAAATTGAAATCGGCATCGATATAATGAACTGTGAGGCTCATGTATGGCTCCATGGTGCGGCTAGACCATAGGTCCGTTGTGGTGGCAAAGTAGTCAGCTGAAGCCACATCTCTCTCAACTTCCCCACGGCATTTGTCAAATAGCGCAGGCAGCGCAGACCTGCTGAAATAATACCGAGACGGCATCGCGTAACGCTTGTCCAACGTGTTGACAAGTTGCTTAAAGCCCTGGTTGCTAACAGTGCTAACTGGGCACATATCTTTAGCGATGTGAAATGTAATGGCACCTGTAATATCTCTGTGTCTCTGCGAGCTCGTCGCGTAGGCCGTTGCTCTGTGCAATGCGTCCTGAATCGATGACTGTGATGATGTTGTGGATGAAGTCGAGCGGGCATCTTTTTGGTCTGCTTTTTGTTGTATTATTGCCCCGTCGTATTGCACTTTGTGGTTGTATTTCAGATGATTAAAGAGATTGGTTGTGTTAGCGTGTGGTGCCAACACAACCTGGTAACAAATCCTGCACTGTACTTTGTTTTGCTCCACGTCGGACTCCTGAAAGCCAAAGTACTTCCAAATAGTGGAAATAGTTTTACCCTTCTTTTTAACGAGTTGCTGCTCTTGTTCTGACATCTTCGCTCGCGCTGAACACTCACACATGTCACTCCCACGTGGCCGAGTGGGCTTTTAGGGAGGGGCGAAAGCGCACCCAGCAAAATAATCGTATTTTGTCAATTATGCTGTTTTCATAATCGTCGCAAGCCATAATCGTAATCGCGATTAAAATACGATTAATTGCACAGCCCTAACACAGGGTACAGTTTATATTATTCTTGGGCTTTTTTCGACTACAAGAACTCAGCGCACCGTTCTGTGAAGTGGTAACGTATTTCAAAGGTTCTGGATTTGTTTACAAATCTAGAAACTAAATACAAAACTAGGACGATATGAAGATCTCATGACAAAAATAATTGTGATAAATGAGACAGAACTGGCCTATCTGTGGGCTCATTTTATGTTGGTTTGGTTCTTCTGATAAAGGTGTGAATATCTAAATAATATACCACCATATGCTATTGTCATTAGTTGTGTCCCTGTTCTTCAAGCTAAGGCATTGCTAAATTAACAACTTTTGGCTTACAGACAGACTTGCCAACCAGGAGACCTCAGAAATCGGGAGCATTTCAAAAACCACCGCGGGGGGTGGGGGGGGGGGGTGCTAGTGGATCGCCGGAGCTGTAGATTAACATTTACATGCTTATTGTAGTTGTAAGGGCAATGCCTGTAGCACCACGGAGCATATGTGTGGGCTGGCTGGACCTGTATTTTACAGGAAAGGAGTGAGCAGAGGGTAGAATTGTCGATTCTTGTTCTGTTTGCTGTGACTATCTTCCTCACCCTCTCAGACTTTCAGTTGCGCGCGCTACGCTACCATGGAAACCAAACAATGGTGTAGCTGTATTAAAGTCCGAGTGGAAACAGTCCTGAGTAAATCTGATTTTGTCAGAAATCGGGAAGTCTCCCGCGAAAATATGTATGGCAAGTATGCTTACAGAGTGGTAACATGAGACCCATTTTTATATATAAAATATAAATATATTTTAATTTTATAATTTATTTTAAATATTAACAATATAATAAAATAAATGGAAATATATACACCGGCAAATATTTAATATAAATACCTTGTGTGTGTGTATAGCTATCGCTTTATCTGCTTAATGTTATTTTCATATGAAAGTCCATGATTATAAGTATGCAGTATCATAACTACATCTTTGATGTTTATAAAAAACCAAACCGTTTGAAAATTGGTTGAAAATTGAGCAAGCTATGGTTATTTAAATAGTAAACCATAATGTTATGAATGAGAGCACTGCCTGTAGCAAGATGGCGGCCATGTGGCAACGTCGGTCTCCATTGGCCAGCAGCGCGGGTGAGTCATCTAGTGTTTATATATATCTATGCCCGCGAAAACGGCATCTATAGTTGCCGACAGTTTAGTATTTTTAAAATACCGTTACTATGTCAAACATGCTCAAAACTTTCTGACACACTCTCTTAAACATCTCTAACATTATATCTCATTAACACAAGTTAACATCGATCATTTTCATCATGTACTGACCTGTAGAAAACAGAAAAGTGCAGCAGCAAGAATTAGACACAGGATCCGATTGATCGTTTGGATTGCTTCTGCGGAGGGGGTGGAAGTGTCCCCCCTAAAATAACCCAGGTGTCACCGCTCACCTGCCAAAGGTTCCACCTTGGCACTACTTACTCTTACTGCTTCTCAAACAGTACAGATAAACCATAAAATGATATGAATGTCACCAAAATAAATACAGATAAGGTTGAGCTTCTCAAAACAATAAATTCACTGTTTAGCAAAAATAAATAAAAGTAAATACACAACAGCGACGTGCAGTCAGTGGAGGCAGAGCCTCACCTGTCGAGCACTGCCTCACGTAAGCCCACAGTAACTTGCTGGAGCGCGGGCACTAATTTAGCGCGGCCACTTATTTTGTGAGCGCGCTCAAGCCATTTACTGTGGGATGAGGTGAGGCACAGATGAGCTCTGCCTCACTTCAGAATGCGTCACCCCACAGAAACTGGCTGGAAAGCGGGCCCTAAGCGCATGCCTGTTCCCATCTCACTGTAGGTCACCAATGTAATGTTTGTAGATCCCTTTATTACATTTATCCTCGCCATCCATAGTCTCTAAATAACTTATTTCACGTATATATGATATTTAGGCTCGCTGGTCTCATCGTACAACGGCAATGAAAAAAGCACCAGGAGAGGCAGCCATAACCTCTGCCGCACTGAAGGGGGCGCACGTGAGCCCACAGGTTCTTGTTGCTACTGTTATTCTACCGCAAACAACAAACTAGACTTTTGAAACTACAGGAAGATAAGGAGGACTTTTACAAAACAGTAATACAGATTGTTGTCCAGAAGGATAGCATGGACTTATATTCATCTTCAAGTCAAGGTAAGACCACAACTGTAATGAAAATGGGATCTTACTTAGAAAGAACAATCCAATATTTAGATTTTGGGTATCCTTTTGTTGATCGGTCTGTTTCAAATTAATCATAGCATCAGACTAAAAAAGCTTTTGAAAATAACAGAATATTTCGATTAAGGTCAAAATAGGCTATAATATTTGTAAATCTGACTCTGAAAGAGTCAGTGCCTCACCAGCCATGAACCTCACCGCACATCACTGATACACAAATAATTGTACCATTTTTGGGGTGTACCACACACTCCCCCACAAACAAAAGTGGCTCCTGACACTACCTATTTAACCTGTTAAGCCCTGAGCCTGTTTTTCAGGTCTCAGGCTCGAAAATGACATTCCCAGAACAAATGACCATATCTTCCCTTCTAAAAGGGTTAAATTAATAATCTTTTTTCTCAAAGTAATGATAAACCTGTGAGTTGGATGTAGAAAAGTCAGAATCAATGTAGATGTTTTTTATTTGAAAGAAAATTCAGATTTTACATAGTAAAAAACTGTAAATTATAGTGTCCGTCCAAAAATTCTTTTTTACTTATAGTGAAAACTACCCTTGGATGATGGTAAGGTAGACTAAAAGCTTTAGGAATCCAAAGTACAACATATAATAAGTACCCTGTATCAAGATTGATACAAAACAAGTGACATTTGACCTTTTTAGAGAGGTTTAGCCAAAAACACTCCACCTCTGAGGTGATTTGGGTGGAAATGGTTTTGTTTTCATATCTCTGGAACCCATTGGTCGATTTTGATGGTTGACACCTCTTTCTGACCGTTAGAGCCAATAGAATCGAAGGGGGAGTCCCCCACACACACTCATTGTGAAACAAAAAGGTGGGGGCTTTGCGCATGTAATTTTGCATTAGAGTGAAGCTACATTCTAGCTCTGACATCTAGAAACGGAATAGCATGGATTATCCGTTGTATTGCTCATGGATTATCAGAAATCATTTCAAAGGGACACAGACACATTGGA